GCAAATCACACAAAACCCCCCCTGCTGATTTTTCCAACGCTGCAAAAAGCCGGCAAAAAAGCTGCCCGGTTCGACTCCGGAAACACTCTTGGAAGCTCTTCGGGGTTCGGCTAGGTTTTTGGCGCTTCCGCGCGAAGGTTTTGCGGGTTGCAAATCACACCAAAACCCCCTCTGGTGATTTTTCCAACGTTGCAAAAAGCCGGCAAAAAAGCTGCCCGGTTCGACTCCGGCAAGCAACTCTCTCGGAGGTTCTTCGGGGTTCGGCTAGGTTTTTGAAGTCTGTCTGCGAAAAGCGAAAGCCCTTGCGGTTATTCGTGCCCGCGAAGCCTGCAAGGTGCGCAGGGTGCCCTCGATAATTGTGGCGCCCGCGATTAGTGGGGCGGCGCCCCTGTATCTATACTCGATCGCCGGGTCCGTTTCTTCTAGTTACTTACTTAAATAGAAAAAAGGTAAAGGAGGCACCCTCGGTCGCCGTTTTCAATAAATCAATGCTGGCTTTTGGAAGTAGGAGCCGGCCCGCCGCTTTTCGTAAATGGTACACACGCGAGCGGGTGGTCACGGTGGCGGCCGAGACTGCGCGTCCGTCCGTCCGTGCGGCCTTGGCCGGTATGCAAAGGCAAACAAAGGGCCTCGCTCATGCCTCCGTGTCTGTTGTGCTGCGTAAAAAAAAAGATGGCCCGGCCTCGCCAAGTGCTACGTTGGTAGCGTTTGTTCTTCCTCGTGGAGAGGCCCCTCCTATCCTGTTCACCTTCTTGAGAGCGAGAGAACCCCTTGCCATGCAACTGTGCGCGTATACATGAAGGGAAAGAAGAAAACCGTAGAGAATCACCTGGGAGCCCCAGTAACAATATGCAGCTTTTTGGAATACATATAGTGGTAGAACTCCTTTTATCACACACGCGCCGCCAGCAGTGAAGTTCCTTTTTCTGAATCACAACAAAGAGAAAACCGAGACAAATGAGAGCAGGCGTTTTTATGGTTAGGGTAAAGTGTAGCCAGCGCTATGACAGAGACAGAGAAGCTTTTAGTTCTGTGCGAAGATAATCCGCTACATAGTATCGGGATCAAGTACTAATACATAATCGCTGCAATTCGCTATCCTAGTTGTCTACTACCGCAGGTTTCTTCTGATACTCAGCCGCTGCAAAGATGTATAATCTTCTACGTAATGCAAATTCGTCTGAGTCTGGGAGGCATGCAAACCTTCATAATTGTGGAGTTGAGAAGAACAAGAAGCAACAGAAAAAGTTTCTTTTTCTTTTTCTATTGCCTCTTGTCCTTGTTCATTCCCAGTTTACTGTTTTAGTGCTGCATAAATGCACCCTGTTGTAATGCTGCTTACGCATTGGATCGGTGTATGAGAGGAGTAGCGTGGACGCGCAAATAAAAGAAAAGTATTGGTATTCATCTTGAATGAAAGAACTTATCATGCCTCGGTGGGTAGTGAAGTCGAAATCCGTGGCGCATGTTGAGACTACCGTTGCAAGTTTCCAGACCCAGACGCATTTGCATCTGATTGCTCCAGCAAAATCGTACTGGAGGAGCACCAGCTGCTGGCCTCCAGTTTCGGCCTGTCCTACTCCCGACAACCGAAACGCCGAATCGTATGCAAGACAGATTCGCTGTCCACACACAAAAGATAGCACGAAACCTGACACCCGGAGCACTTGCGATGGCATGTTGAAAACGTGCTAACCAATGGAGTAGAAAGAGATTAGAATAAATCCTCAGCATTGAGAAGAGAACCTGTTTTGTAACGAGCATGCAGATAATGACATGTAAGCGCAGCCATTGGTTGTACGTGTGCAGCGAAGTTGTAGTGGATAGACCAGCGAATCACCCGTTTGGAGCAGCGCATGGTGTATCGAAGAAAAAAGCTATGTTTTTGTTTAGTGTGAGTGTCCTGTCTTGTAGAGCCACAGCATGCAAAGCAGTTTACTCACATTTGTCATGTTGGATAGGCATGGAGCCCTCCCCTTTTCAAATAGCCACTCACGTCGTACTAGTATACGCATGACACACCTTCTCATTTTCAGATAGGCATGAAGCACCTTTTGGTATCGGCATAGATAAATAGATAAAAGCCTATCGTGCCAAACTATGTTTAGCACGATAGGCGGTCTATTTATCGTAATACCGGGCTGTAGGCTTCTCAATCTCATGCGGTCGCGCCAACAAACTTAAACTAAAAGAGTTTTTTTCCTGCGATATGGCCACCGCCGAGAACCGGGTCACAAACGTGGAGGGCTCCGTGGTAGGACTCTCAAACCGCATGAATACGGTTGAGAACCGAGTCGACAAGGCGGAGGGTAAGATTGGCATCCTCGAGATTGCCGCCGAGGAGACCAAAATTGCGCTCGAGGCGGACGAGTATAAGGCTATCCGATGCAAATATGTCACGGACTGAAAAGTATGAACTGCAAATGTGTCCGGGTCTGGAGGCGTGGAGCTTGTGATGCTGTCTTGTTTGGATACTCATTATATATAACACCTGTATTGCATGACCAGCTAGAAGAGTCCAGTTTGTGCTAGTACGCGGAGGGTGCATTTTTCATGCGGACTCGGCATCAGAAAGTGAAAGGGTTCTGGAAATCTGTGATGCTAAGTCATGCAATACAGGCGTTATGGGTCATGCAAAATTATATGCATGACAAGCCTGGCAATCTTCCAGACCCAGGCATAATTGCAGTTGATAGAAAGCAGAAATGTCACTTCGTTGTAGTGCTCCGGATGGCGTCGCCAGTGGCTGTCAATCACGCCTCAGCAAGAGGTTGCGGCAGCAGGAGCTTCTCGCTCTGCTCGTTGCCAGAAAGTTTGTGGAGCCCAGTTGGTACTAAGTAGCCAAGGTGGCGACTGCACGTGCCAAGGCTCGTCTTGTTCAAGCATGACATGGCTTCAATAATGTACACACACACACAGAGAAGAAGAGCTAGTGCAAGCTCTGCTTTCCGTGGCAGTGACGTATTTATATTGGATAAAGAAGATAGCCGCGCAGCTGACGTCCCTTCGCTCCCGCTACTTCGCTGGGCCGGTGTTCGCCGAGATGCAGGAGGCATTGGAGTATCCTGATGAAAATTATGGAAACTACCCTAGAAATTGGCCACGCATGTTTGACATGATCAACTAGCAACGCAGAGACTGTGCTTTATAATTCTTGCGCTCGGTCTCGGATAAGGATTGCATTACAAAATCGGGTAGTTGGAGATTTTCTCTCCGCATATCGGAAACGCGTTTGACATGCCCTGGACGACGGAAAACATCAGGGACCTACTTATGCATTGCAAAAGGATCGCACCACTAGCAATACATTTAGAGCGCACAACAATGGGAAGTAGCCTCCCAAGTTGAACACGAGGTCGCATCGTAAAGCTGCCTAAGGTACTTTGGTGCCAGACTTGTCATGCAGTCCTGCAAGTAGTGTGATTGTGATATTATGAGTGCGATACTTTTGTGAAGAATACTTCCTATGCGGTGCAAACATGTCTAGGTCCACTCTGAGACCCTGACTCGCGGTTGAATCAACAGGCAGCATCGTGTAGGATTGAAACAAGGATCCAAGCGAGCACATACATGACAAAACTCCAGAGCTGAGATGCCTATATACGTGGCGCGCATGATAGTTAAGTACGCAGCTCCTGTGCCTCTTTACATGACAAAAGTACAGGCACTGGCGCTGGCTAGACACCCAATGCAACACTGACAGAGCCCCAGTGGGCAACAAGAACAGGCACCAGTACAACTGTGACGCATCCTCCTCTTGCAGACTCTGACTAGTTTGCAACGCATACTGATGCCCCGGAAGTTCTCGCGGGAAACGGCCCCGGACTGCATCAACGACGGCTCTGAGTCTCTCCCGGAGCAGAAGCAGGCGCTGCACGTCTGGAAGGAATACGTACTCGAGTCGAAGTCTGCCTGCGACAAGATTCTGTTCGACCAGAGCATCGCCATGTCGGAAACAGAAATCAAGGCGCTGCAGATGTGTAGCGACCTGATCGGAGACTTCTGCGACGGACTGCAGATCAAGACGGGGGACAGCAAGAATTTAACCATCAACCAGCACGAGACCTTATGGAGGGGAAGGGATTGTCTTTCATCTCTCACACAGAAAATGAAAACTGCATCAGCAACATCCTAGTCCTACAAAGAAAGAAAATAAAAGCTACACTGTCATACGCTTACGCACCGGCACGGCATTGGCATGCTGTTTTTTCCTTACACACTGGAGCTTTTTTTGGCCAAGTAGAACAACTGCGGAAAGCCATTCGCTTCCCCTCCATACATAAAAACCACTGCGGATTGCGGCCCAGCTTCCCCGCCGGACGCGCCCTCCGCGTAAGAACTCATCTACACGCAGCTGGAGCTGAAACTGTACGTCTCTTTATCACTCATCTTCCTTGTTCGTCTTCTACAACTACGCTAGGCAATCACGGACAACAACGGCGCAAAGAGAAAACGGACACCCACGTGGTTTCGCCGGTATATTGAGGAATTTACGTTAGGTTTGAGTTTGTGTTTGTCATGCATGATATTATCTCCTTCTTACGGAGGCGAGAAAAATTTAATTTTTTTGAAAGAAAATAGCCACAGATGCTTTTTTTGTACCTTCATCTCGCCGATGCAAGAAATAATAAAATAAACTTCGGAGGTGGACGACTGTAGGGTCGACAGGTCGGGCGGTTCGAGACGAGATCGACAGGTCGGGCACAGGAACGAACTTCGTGAAAAACGTGTGTTTATCGGCTGCAAACATGTCGGGAGCTGGAAACTTTTGTTGCTCATACCGGGACTGCATGACGGCCACTCAGACTGCAGAAGAGCAGGAATATGACTAAAGGACTCATTCGTATTTAGCATTACAAACTGCGATCCAGCATGACAAAAGGATTTGCCGCTCCTGCCATTCATGCGTCACAGATCTTGCAGTTGTCCTTGAAGGTATCACATCACAAATCCAGGCCCAGACATTTTTGCAAGGCATAGGGTGCTTGTCCGCTAACAGGTGTTGCAAAGATCACCACGATGTATTTTACACACCTTTTTCAATCACAGTGTGCACGGCATGACAGTTTTGGCAGCTGGCTGCAGAAGAACAAGAACATAAAAGTGGTGCATCAATGTCGTGCGAGAAGTAGATCTGCAGGGACAGTAGATACACGCAGACTTTGTCCAACGAAGCAAACACAATTGGACATTTCCATTTGAAGAATTTATAAAACGTCGTCAAGCATCTACTCCACTATCACTAGTCACACAAAAATTTACAGGTTTTAGAACAGAATTTTTTGATTACAGTAAGTACACTCTTTCGCGAGTACAGGCAAAGCTCGTTCTAATTGATATCCATTGAAAAGCATGTGAAGTAGCGTGCATTTATTTTTTTGTATCTCAGATTCGGTACCAAGTCTTTGCAATTACGCTGTGTGCGCCTGTCCAATTGCAAAGATGATTGCGACTGCAGCAGCAGCTGGAATGAGAATTAGAACACGAAATACAGATAAGTCGTCCCATGTTGGCGGTTAAATTGGTAGCGACTGAAATTCAAATTGTAACTCATTGTATAGTAGCAGCAAGTGGCGCAAGAAGCGTCAATGCTTTCCCCGTATCGACGTCTTGGTCCGTAGACGTACAGAAGGGGACGAGCGCAGCCCCGAAACTGGGTCGCAAGCAGCAATTACTATTCTGGCAATATTACTTCTGCTGCGCTTGCGTGAGTGTTCAAAAATGAAGCTGCGGAACTCCGATAAAAAAATTCGGGCGCGTGTTGACGTTTTCTGTGTCTACGATAAGTGTCGAAGTTGTAAGATTTCGTGCGTCGCGCAAGAGCGTCCTGCGAGTCATGCGCCCCATGATTGACTATTTTCTCGGTTTTTCAATTCAGCAAATTTGCTTCGCGTGCTCCGCCGCACGATACAAACATAAATGTAACTTTTGTGCTACGCTTTCGAGCCTCGATCGTCCATCTATTTTTGTTCTGTAGCGATTTACGTGGGATTTCGTGTCGTCTGTGCATTGTGTTGTCGTTCTCGACCAAGATCTTTATTTGGTCTCTCGTGAAGCGGCATTGATTTTCGCGCACTTGATGAAGTACTAGACGCAGCTGCTGATTAGCGATTGAATTTACAACGCATCAAGATTGAGCAACATCGCGTACTCGACATGCGAAAAACTGAAATATTCTTCTCCGTTCGCAGATCGTTGAGTACAGTTTAGGGTGTCCTTAGAGAAGACTTCGTTTTTTGTTTCACCACGACTGAAGCCGAAGAGGAAAACATGCCTTTGCGTCAATCCTCGTCCCGGTCCCGACCTATTCCTCCTTAACCACGACAGCGCACGTTGTGCGCGCCGTGAAAGCTCAGCCGAAGTATACAACGACCACTAGGTACTAGTGTTGGATTCGCCACTAACATGACGAGAAGAGACAATAATGGGGCGAGAGGATCCGCAGACCCGCCTCCCTCCGGTCGCGAAGTGGACGATGATGAAGAGGCGACGAGACAGAGGGAAGAGCGGATGCAAGCGCGGCGGCAACGATGCGACCAGCTTCTCGCGGTTGCGGACGGCGCGGAGGAGAACCGGGAAAACAAAGGGCAAACGCAACAGCAGCAGGAAGGGACAGCTAGCTCTACTAGCGCCAGCGGGCAAAGCCTGGGCCGGCATCCTGGTCCTCCGTCCGACCACGACGAAGCTACTTCCACCAAATCTGTGTCCACGACGCCCTTGGAGGCCACGCAGAGCGGTGTGAACACGGATCCGGAGGACAAAACCGGCAGCCGCCTAATATGCATTGCAAATGTGATGTCTGGGGGTGGATCATGGGCGCATCAAGTTTGTCATGCCACGACTTGAGTTGGATTTCATTGTGCTTGAGCTTGTGGTGCATGTACAACAGAAAAACAGCCGCGCAGAAGAGAACTTTTGATGATCAAGAAGAGGACAGTAAGTGACTTTCCATGCAAAGTGGGCACTCTTGGGAAGTTCTCCAAAGAACTTGTCATCCAACGGCCTGCGTTACAGAATTTTAGTTTTGCTAACTTCCGGACCACAAGTGGCACAGTTGTGAGTCTAGTTCAAAGACCTTCAGCAGTCGTGCTCCTGCAGACCCCCCGGACATGATTGCAAAGCATACCTGCGCTCGCTGTATAGCAACACACTGCGGAAACTCAACAAGGACGTAGAGGACTCCAGAAGCAAGATAACGGCTGTGCATTCCCAAGTCCAATTTAGTTGGGATGAGGTTCATCGTGTCGTCGGTGACGGGCAGTGGGAGGTAGATCTCGTGCAGATGAAAGCTACAATCAGGAAGCTGGGCTACATGAATCAGGACCTGTGGCGACAGATTGACACCATTGCAGCCGGTCGGGGCCACGCCGCTGCCAATCCATCTGCGACTACTCGCGCACTCATAATGAAGTTCAACAATGTATCCTATGTAAAAACGTCCCCACCCACGAATCAGAATCAAGAAGTAGATAGGGACTTTCCCATCAAAGTCATCAAGTTTATTTAAGTATAGTGCATGACAAATTTGATCTGATAGCGTAGTGCTGTTTAGCCTGTTCAACCGCATCGAAAATCCACTGCCTTGCACTTATTCCAGCATGACGAGGAGCTCCAACAAATTACTAGCATTAGAAAAAAATATGTCCCCTGTCCTTGTGGCTGCGCATGAGAAAGATTTATTTTCGGCTCGCAGATTCATAGCATGACATTGACAACTTCTGGGCGGGAACGTTTTTACACAGAATACCAAAATCCTAGTTACTCTAGCCTGAAGGACGCCGTGAGTGCGGTGCAAGACGATGTGGACGACGTGAAGGTTACCGCAGCTGAGCTGGAGACGAACTATGGTCGACTTTTTGAAGACTTATTCACTGGAAAGTAACCGTTCCCAGCGAATTTGTCATGCAAGACATGTAGGTAAATTCAGTGTTTGTCATGCATAATGCAGGAAATGCAGGAGGGAATGGCCAATTTTCAGGGAATAAGACCACTCGGCGGAGGATGGAGCGCCGATGTTCGTGATTCAGCAGGTCGGTCTCTTCCAGTATGGCGTTCTCAAATGTTACATTCACAACTGTTACATGATTTGTCATGCAAAAACACTATCGCTCTTACTTCACACGATCAAGCCTTCTCCGCATGACAACTTCTCGTCGCGCTAGATAGCATTATAATCTGCTCCAAACCTGTAATGCAAAAGGCCCAATCTTTTCCCTTTCACTTTTGCCGTTTTTGCATGACAAATTTCATGTAACAGTTGAGAGTGTAACGTTTGAGAACGCCATATCCACCAGAATCTCCAGCAGCAACTGCTCCTGCTTGAGCAGAGCATGGAAACAAACAAGAAAAAGTTACTACGCCTGCAGGGGAACAAGGGCCCAGTTGCAGAGGACGCACTACACGCGCCACAAGGATCATTTTCGGCTGCACACGACGTCGACGGAGGACAAACCAGTAGCAAAATTTCCCTTGCTGGGGCTAAAGTCACCAAAAATGCAGCACACCGCCTGTCGGCCAGCAAAGGTTCGGCACTCACAACGGCGCCCAGCAGCCGAAACAGTAAGAGCAGTATTCTCGGCGAGGACGGCAGTACAGCAAATTTCGACGACGAAGATTTTGAAATCGAGGATTCGAGCTCCGATACCGCAACTGAGAACAGAGCAGGTGGAAGCAAACTCGCTATGCTGAACAGGGGGCACATGCAGCTACAGTCCCATGCGGACGACGAAGATGTTCCGAATTCGAGCTGTGGCGAATCGTATGCGTTGCAAATAAAGTATCGTGGTGCTCCGTGCCAGTGGAAGCTGCATTGCAATTATTACTTTGTTTGTAGAACAGAAATGCTGTTTGTCATGCGAGTTTAGGTGGAAAGAAGCAAATCTGTTAGACATCACGTCCGGTAGCGGTACTGAATTGCTCGTGCCCTTCTCGGCCTCGGGGTGCGATACTTCTTCTGCAAGGCATAAATCGATTTTGTCTACAATTTCCTGCGGATGCTGCCGCCGGAAACGGTACAACGCCTCCAGGAGCTTCGGCTCGACCTGTTTGGCTGGAGTACAGTCACCCTGGTTCATCCTGTTGTACCCGTTCCTTCTCTATTATGGTCGCGCTCCGTGGGAAATCGCCTTCGGCACAGTGGAAGTTTTTTGTGGTTCTTATGCATGATGAGTTCAATGTCAATCGTTGCTATGTAGTGCAAACGGACTTTTTATTCAAGTTCAAGTATCAAAGGAGCTTCTGCTGTACCTCTTGCATGCCTGAAAGAAAAATCTGTGTTGCATAGCCAGCAAAGACGGCGGTTTTGTGCTATTCATACTTGAGGGGCAATTTGTCGTGATAAGCGTGCTAAACATCGGGCTGCGTCAAATGAACTTGTCATGCTGGGGTGCGCTTGAAAGCACTAGAAGTACCCACTCTGTAGCATCACAAATTTCATCCCAACCCAGACGACATATATACAAGGCATAGTGTCAGTGGTCAGGCAATGCCTGCAACCATTTCCTGCTCCAATTTGTTGTCGATTTTCCACGCGGCGCTTCCATATTCACGGAATTTACCTCTACTGCAGCGGCTTCGGCGATCTGAATCAGAGCAGGAAAGGCGCAAAAAGGCAGGTACAGGGAATGTTGATTCATCGGCGTCATTGATTACCAGCACCCTTCGTGTTTTTTCTGCTCGTCCTCGTAGTACTGGTACTAGAAGAATCTCCTGCACGAAGGTGGGACAGTCGTTGTCTTTTGTTCCCAGAAATGTGTTCAAAAATCTGACTTCCGACAGGTCCGAGCCCCTCGCTCTCCTCTTTCTCGGGTGGCGAGGACGTTACCCGGACGGCTTTCCGCTCAGGTTTGTTATGATTCGGATCTGGATGTTTTTCGTCGTTACGTCGAAGGAGGTGGAGTTCTAGCGCCATTGAACCGGGAAGGTGAATCACGGAAGGAAGAACTCCCGGGTGCGGCAGAGCCTACTGCTGGCGCTGTCACAGCAATGCAGGAAGAGGGGGCTGTGGTCGATGAGGCGCGAGGTCTGCAGGCGTTGGACAACAAAGTAGTGAATTTTGATTGCTGAGAGGCCTGTTTCGTACAATTGGTCATTTCGCAATAAAAGTGATCTATCAGGTGCTGCATAAGCTTCCATACGACGTGTTGATGAAGTTCGTGTTCTTCGTGAACGATCTCGTTTGATTTTCTTTTGCAGCTCCAGGTCCAGGGAAATAATCTAGTACCTGATCCTGCAGCATCTTCAAGAGAATGAAAATACAATACTTCTCGTCCAGGTAGCAAACCTCACACTGTGGCTGGATGAGTTTGCGGGGACCTATGAAGCCAAATGGACAGCGGCGCTCGACGAGTACAAAACGGCGTGGAAGGAAGTGCTGGATAAGTACATGAGCGGAAGCCTGGAACCAGCGCTCGATGTATCAAATGCAAAAGTGTCTTGGTCTGGAAGAATGCAACTTGTGATGCTGCATTTGGATGTCTAGTAGAAAATTTGTGCTGCATGAGCAGCAAAAGCAATCTAATTTTCGCTATGCGGAGAGGGCATTTGTCATGCGGAATAGGCATCAAGAATCCATTAGAAAACCTGGGATGCTAGTGCACACATCACGGACATCATGGCGCATGTAAACCGTGCGTGACACGTCTCAGAATCTTCCAGACCCAGACACTTTTGCATTCGATACGATGAGGCGCGCAACAAAACCAAAAAGCTCTTTGACGAGTCCAAGAAAAAAATGTATGACGAGATCAAGAACGACTTGATTGAATTAGCGAAGCGGATTGAAGAAGGCGAAAAGATCGCGAAAGAAAAAGCAAAGAACGCCACCCAGCAGCTAATACAATTGGGCAACGAACTATTTCACTATGATGCTCTCAAACGTTACACTGATTGTTGTTACTCACCTGGTCGTTCTGTGATACAAGGTAGCAAAAGGGACAGGGCAAAGGCAGGGCGGATGCGGAACCTTAGACGTTTCGAATTACAGACCCGGCACAGATTTATGTAAGTGCTATCCATCACTTTTTTCGAGAATTTGTTATGGGAAGTCGCTTGGTTATGTGGATGGTGATGTGGGTCGCGACATTTGTCGAAAAAATCATGTAACAGCAAAGAGTGTAACGCTTGAGAACTCCATATTATCAGCTAGAACGCGGCCGGCTTGCGCTAGTCCTTGCTGCCTACGACGGAATCCGCAAGCAACTTCGACTCTGTCTAGCAGGCGGCATGGTAGTCTTAACAAGCTGTGTAAGTCGAGGTTTTCGTTCTGATCAGTTTCAGTGCAGAGCGGTCTCGGAACAACGATGACTGTTACTGTTTATCAGCTACACAGAAAATGACCTTCGTTTTGTAGTTTTTTCGGACAAAAAAGCATCGTCAAGAAAAACAAACACCTTCTACCACAGGATCCTTTCTCGGAAGCACGACCGGCTACCGGTGTTGGCTGTCTTGGAGTCGAAACTTTGCTTCTTCCACTTCCATCGATTTCTTGAAGTACTTGGTCGTCCAGAACAAATCCAGGTCAGACGAGATTCCTGGTGAGGCTGCACTTCTACCCCATCTTTTACTTTTACATCATCGTGACCCGACAAGAAGACAACATTGTAAAAAATTAAATGAAACAGCAATCCCTGATATCAATTGCAGATGTGTCTGGGTCTGGAAGATTGCAAGAGTTGTTATGCGTATTTGCATCAGCATGACCCAACATGTAGTTATCTGTGAAGGTGCGTGGATGTTGCTCAAGCATCACAGATTTGGTGACAGCCTCCTGATGCCTATATCACGAGCAAAATGACCTCTCAGCGTAGCGAAAAGTGGACTCTCCCCGCTTCTCACGCAATACAGATTTTGCACAATCCAAAGGCTGCAGCTGCACCTTGCAGGCCCAGATATATTTGCACTGTATACATGTGTATACTTGAGTTTAATTTTTGCCATGCAAAATGCGAGAACATCTACTTACATCAGCGACAAGAGACCACGGGCACCTTGAACGTAAACATCTTGTTTCTGAAAGCTGCGGACTTTTCTTAGTCTAACCGGACGATCACACCAACTGATTTTGCGATGGAAGCACTCCTGGTGCATCGGTCATAGAAGATTCACACTTCACCCAGCACAACAAGTGCAGGTTTGCAGTTGATTTCCGCTCCCCGACCACGACCAGTACCAGATCTTCGTGTTCGCGTTTTGACAAGAATAAACCTCATTTCGAGGATTTGTTGTCATTGTTGTTCTAATGGATCGATTCGGTTTTGCTTCCGTTTTATTCACCATTCTCTCCCTGGCAAAACAAGTGTCGCCTTTGATACGAAGCCCGCTCCTGCAGCATTTTCCACCCCGTCGGTAATGAATATGATCGGTGGAGGGCGAGGGCATTGCCTCACTCGGTTTCCCTACAGGGATTGACGCAGTGGTCGTTGTAAAGTACGACGAAAAATGTCGAAAAGTGCAGCGTATAAAAATATCATTCAATATCACATCTTAGATTGTGGTTGTGCCACTGCTCTTGCGGGACCGTCGACCTCTTGTAATTTCTCTGCAGCTCGTGCTCGGTCTCATGTCAACATAATAATACAGAAGTATTTTACTTCATTCGGGAACATCGGTTTCTGCCTTAATATCTTCGAATAGTCGTGAGATATTTCTTTCTTTCATGTCGTGTGGTGGGTCGTGTGTCTCTGTCTGTGTCGTAGCTTGTCTAGCGACTGCAGTGGAAGCGTCGCGATTACGCCTCTCATTTGTGGGCTCTCTGGGTGTGCTACCAAATTCTACAGCATCATCTATAGTGGAAAGAAAAGTTTTAAAGATATCTTCCAAATGATGCAGCAAATAGGCGCGTCGTCGTCCGAAGTATATGTATACCATAGTATGATTTGCACCATGTTCATGTTGCTCTCATGAAAAGAACAACAATTATATTCCACATCTCATTCTTGCGACTGACAATGAAAAAAAAAAAAAAACAGCTAGAAGTACGGCCATCCTGGTACTAATTTTTTTCCGAAGATTATATATGGTAGCCATAAAATGTTGCGCGCACGAGAGCTCAGAGCTCGTCTTTTTTCCTTTCCAGTCCTAGGTAGCGCACCGCAACTTATTGGGAGGATTTAGCACTCTCGTATATTGTCACTTTTACGCTTCGTAGTATTTGCACAGCGCTTCTTCGATAGAACAACAAAGAATGCCGGGTAACGCAAACAGTGGAGCAAGGAAGAAAGAAAATCCAACTTTGTCCACCCAGCGTTGGCAAAAATGGAAACAGGAAGACGAAGAAAAAGTATGGCATTCTCGCACTTTACGCTGACCATTGTTACGCGATTTGTCATGCCGAATAACGGGCACCCTGTACGCGATCCAGTAGCTTCTACTTGGTGCGCTAGATCGTTTTTTTTGAATCAGTGCCAAATCTGTAATGCACGAGGCGCAAGACCATGACCAGGACCCCACACCCTTCCCGTTTTTGAATTGCATTTCAGTACAAAATTATGCAAGAGCAACCAGTGTAGGTGTAGTGTGGGAGAATGTCATAAAAAAAAGCAGAGAAATATGGGAGTGTCAGGATTGAACTCGACAAAGTTGAAATAACTTGCAACGCCTAAAATCAATACCAGTCGGAAGCTCAATTTTTCAGCCGCGCATGACAAATTTGAGCAGCGTATAAATCCAGCTTGTCATGCTATTTCGGGACAGAATCAGAAGGCGTCTTTTATCATGCTCCCAAACAGGCTGACAGTCGGCCTCACTTGCCATCCCTGTAAGGGAGGCATTTCATGCCTTGCAATTTATGCATGACAAATTATTTCAACTTTGTCGATTTCGGTCCTGACGCTTCAATCAGCAACAGTGGCAGGAGGACGAGCGAGCGTCCGAACAGACGATCATCGGACTCATGCGGATTTTTGTTGGTTTTTATCAATTCCTATGCAACAAGAAAAAAACTGTGTAGAAGGTTTACCCTTGTGTTGCGCTGACGATACAAACTAGTATACGCTTGTCATGCTTGTTGACATGGATGATACCTAGCATCACGCATGCTTTTACTTTTACGCGCTACTTACGCATGAGAAGATTCTGTTGGCATCCATGCCTGGTTGTCTGGCGGAGAAGCATGACAACAAAAATTGTGAAGATTTCTGAGACAGATAATTGCCCATGCTGTGTTCTGCTCAAAGAGTTACGCCAACACAATTTTTTTCTTCAATAATTGCGAAAGCTCCAAACCTAGCATTGGTACTCGGCGCTCCACCAGCCGTGGTCAGCATCACGGAAGCGGGTGCAGCCTCGTCAGCCTGAAGAAGCCACGCTCTGTATTACATCTCCTAGACACCGTCTTGATGGTGAATTTGATATGCCCCTGCACATTTCTCCAACAAACTCAAACAGAAGATTTCCTCGCTCCTAGAGAAAAATTCTGGGTCACGACCTTTGCATAATGAATGTACATCTCCCGACTTGCTAGGCATGTTTTGTCATTTGTGTATTGATAAGAACCTCGTCTGTTTCATTCTTTTTCTGGGAGTCTCGGTCCTGCTTTACAACCTGCTGTACAACGACAACAAGGGGTATCACATACAAACATGTCTGTGCTCTCTGGAGCAAAGCAAACTTGCAAATGGTACGCTGACAGGACAGAAACATTTTTCATGTGTCTGCGAAAACCTACAGGAACTTGTTCTGTCTTTTACCCAAGAAGGCTTTCCTTTCAAAATTGTCATGCTTAATACAGTCAGTCCGATACTACCATTGTGGTATCACGTTTCTGCGGATCCAGACATCTTCGCAATGCATAATGACGATGAAGTGGCCGAGGAGTGGGTATGACGGCGTCAACGTACCCAACAAGCATCGCACCCAAGGGGATAAAATTTTTTTTTTTCACAGTAAACGAATTAGATATAGTTAATTTCGCTACTTAAAGTGCATTAGTTTATTTCATGTGAATTAGCTATGTAAAAAAGACGGCTTTTACGGGTTGCCGGGTGCTAGATCGCCGATATCCAGCTCGACGGATTCACCGCGGAACCCTAGCAAAAAAACGAGGAAGTGCCCCATGGCGTGGCGTCTGTCTACTGCCCGCGCTTTCCATTGTGCGTGGCCTGTGGGAGGTTTGGCGCAGCTAGCCGCATCCAGGGGATAGCTGACGGCAAGCCGGCACGGTAAACACGCAAAGCCGCGCGCCCTGCTTATGAGAAAAGGCTGAGCAGCGTGCCATCGGTTGCCAGGGGGGGTTTCGCCAAAAAGCACCCGCAAGCCAAGTGCAACATGGTCCGCAGGCCGCGGCCTGCAGGGCCGCAGGCGCGAGGCGGGGGCGCGAGGGGGGTCCGCGGAAGGGGGTCCACGCAGGGCCTCCCGTAGGGCATATTTTTTCCCCTAGCCCCGATGCTGTGGTCGTTTTGTCCCTTGTCAAAAAGGGAGCATCTCGGAGGGGCATCGCGGACGGGGATCCCGCACTCTCGTGTTGTCCTGTGTGAGGTTAATCTGCCCAGGTAGGAACACAACGAAGCCGGGGCAATTTGGATAGCCTCACAAAATGGCTCCCAAGCTCGGCGGAAAGTGGCAGCAAGGCGCAAACAAAACACAGAAAACGGCGGCAAGGTGCGACACGGCCGTCGCAACTACGTCGTCCTGCTGCCTCGCCACAGGAAGCTGGCCGCCGATCCTCTGCCCCGTGCGCCGCTTCGTGCACTATCTGCGCCACGCCTTCGTGTGCAGTATCCCGGCGCCCCTGCGTGGAGACAACCGAGGCGAATCCGTGGAGCTGGATATCGGCGATCTGGCACCCGGCAACCCTTCGAAAACGTCTTGTCTAGCTACTTAATCATCTACCCATTTCAATTAAGTACTTGATATAGGTATTTTACCGGCCAGTCCGGCACTAGTTGAAACTTTTTTTTTGATCCTTTATGGGTGAGTTGCCTCTTGGGTACGTTGACGCCGTCATAGTGGGACGACGCTGGTTATAAAGCCAACCGAGCGAAGTCATACCAGGAGTTGATGGCAACAATAGACCGCTAAACAGTCGTCGTGAGTTTTACTTTTACTTTGTCGTGGTTTTTTCACTTTTTTTCGCGTAATTCTTTTCAGGAAACTTTTCTTCTCATTGTCATTTACGAAGATCTGACACAGCTGAGCTTCGTCTACACGTTCCTTTTCTTCACATATCTTTCATTCCCGTGGGCGTCATATTCCGGCACTTCGAGTAATGAAGATGTCTTTTCAAAGAACAATATATTGATAAACAAAAACTACTAAAACACTATATCAAAGAGGAACAGTCGCCACACTATTTGTGTGTGGCCTTTTCTTCTTACCGAAGAGGGCCGTCGCCTTTTTTCCCTGCCTCGGACAATTGACTGAGAGAGTCGCTTCTTGTTTGAAAGGTCCTGCACCTGTCGATGTAGATTCTTGCAGCACCAGAGGGAAGTCGGTCTTGTCCTCTGTTATGGAAATCATTGAGTCACACGTGCTGTCGTTTGTTGGAGAGAAGGTCAATTTATTGTTGTTGCACGGAGCTCGTCGGTCATCTCTCCTCGTTCGGCAAGTGGTTTGCAACTTTACTCAATAGTGTGCGTGATACACTGATCAAAATTCTCGAGAAAAGCGGCCCGATTTGGAAACCGTGTCGCTATTGTCAAATCGCTTTTCGTTTGTCTCGAACCAATTCGGCGTTGCGCGCAGCCCTTCTCGTTGTGCTCGCTAAGGGTCGTGAACTTGTGACCTTGTCTGTCCCGTCTGAATTGTCACTCAAAACGACACTGTAAACAAGCATCAATCCAATGCTGTGGATGTTGGTGCTGCCGACGACGGACGGCGCATATGAAGTTAGTAGAGCTTAAGAGCGTACTACGGAGAGTGAGTGAGGGCGAGTGGAGCAAAGTTGGAAAATTGTTCTTGCTACGACAATCGTTGTAGTAGTTACTTACTTAAATGTGTGATATGGTCAAGTGTCACAGCATAGAGCTTCTTGTACGTCGTCGCTCCGGCTAAGATTCCACACGAGGTTCTATTTGGATTACTACAGTTTTATTAATTACGATTGCAGAAATATGCGCGGTCGGACGAGACCCCGGAGGGCGCAGTGGGCCGCCCTAGCAACATCACACGAGAGAATGACTGCGCAGTTGCAAGCTAGCAACAGCACAAATCCCCCCGCGGGGTTGGCGTCGACGAAAGAACAGCCGGCTAGTGGTAGAAACAGCACAAACCCGCCCGCGGAGTTGGCCCCGGCTAAGGAAGATGAAGCGGTATCCTGTGCAAAAGTATCATACTCGTAGTAATTGCAGTCATGCATTACAAATCTCCTTTCCAAGGTAAAACAGCATGACAAATTTTATTTCTCATGCTGAGCAAATTTGTCATGCAATTTATACTAGTACGAATAGGATGCTTTTGCAATGCATAAACGGCTGGTGGCAGCAACAGCACAAAGACAAACCCGCCCGCGGAGTTGGCCCCGGCTAAGGAAGATGAAG